GTTTTATCATGAAACATTTCTTGGCAACACACTTGACTTACACCAGCATTCGAAATACCTGCCTGCCAGACTTCCCTGACGGGTTATTTTCAACATGGACTACCATATTCTCAAATTCACCTGCCCGACGGTCGGGTTAAAATTTAGACATGTATATGCTGTTAGTATTAGTTTTTTAAATATTTTACAAGTTTTAATATTAATTATAGTAAGTAACTTAGTATTTTTTGTGGGCAGGTAAGTTTTGGTAAGGCTGGCAAGTTTTACATCTAACCAGCCCAGTTTCATACCCTGCTTAGACATGCCACATATTGTTTCCAGAGCATAACTCATAAGTTGTATACAATCTTAGTATGAAACTTTGCCTATGTATTAGACACATTTAACCTGAGGGTATGGTATGATGTTATGGTATTTCTGATAAAAATAATTTTTATGGTTTAATGTTTTACTTAGTGGTTAGAGCCTGCAATCAGCTGGCAGTAGGGACAAGTTCTCTCAGAAACTACCCAAGTAACAGAAATGAAACTTTACACACTTAGAGATTCTTATCAAGACTTAGGTTGAAAATTACTACCACACATTGTATGTTTCTTTTCAGGGTTACTCTCCTCATATCATGTATTTTTACTTAGTTAAGGTCGTTGCTCCAATAAATTCATATTTTTTACTCCGGAAGTGAATTCTAAATTACCTCATGGCCGCAGATAGTGAAAGCAGTGTTGTTATTTTTTATATTTCTATTTTTATTTTTGTGTATGGTATAAGGTAGCAACTTAAGGTACATTTACAGAACAAAGGGCTGAAACATGGACATTAATATTTGACAATGGATAAGCAATGTTCCCCTGCTCACTGTAATTGAGACAAACTCCAGGTACAAAATTTATATTTATCGCTTCTAAACATGCTGTTTTACAGCCAGAATGGTAATGTCAATTTCATGGGGACAGCCCTGTGAGTCATTTGCTGCGTTTATTGACTAAAAAAAAACGCTGGCAATTGATTGTATTTTGTTCAGATCCTCTGTTCTGCCCCCCAGCTCACGTTTGACTTGCAAACACGAAATCTGCTCTTGACACGACTAACATTATACTGCTGTTTCTGAATAGATGCCTATGTCATCACTTTAGCATGTTTTGTGGAGGGAGGCTCACTTCAGACATCCAATATTGACATGCTGGGCCGCTATCACAACATGAATTATGAAGTATATGTTTTTGTTATTTATGCAAGTAACCTTTGTTTGAGACAGGCCTCATGGCTTCAGGAAAAGAATAGAATAGAAAATTTTGAGGGAATGCAAACATATTTCTTTCATTTAAATATTCGTAAATATTTATGTTCGCACCAGTGTTGCATAAAAAGAACAATGAATACATTCCTGCAATAGTTTGTTGCAAAAAGTGATGTGTCCATGAAAAATAAAGGTTAATGGCCAAAGTAATTTCTGACTTGATCGTGTTTATGAGGGTTTGTTGCAGTGGCCAGTGGTTGAGCCCAAGAGCAGTGATATATTCAGTCAAGATATACCAGCTGATTTTTGTTTTACTTCGTTTTCATGTGTGATGGCTAACTTTACCTGTTCTGACCTTTTCAGCAAAATTTTGGGTTACTTTGAAGTATTTTGAGGGGCGGTGGGGTAGTCTAGTGGTCAAAGCGTTTACTTGTCATGCCGAAGCACCGGGTTCAATTCCCCATATGGGTACACTGTGAAGCCCATTTCTGGTGTCACCTGTCAGGGCTCGATTTATTGCTTTGTTACTTGCACTGGTGCAACCCAATATTACAAAGTGCAACCTAGTTATTTGTGTAACTTGCACCAGGTGCAAGTCAATTTTTGAGTGGGTAAACTTCTGAATAAAACATCTACATAATTCAATAGCATATTTCTGATATTACATATTGCATTAAAAACAGTGCAACTGAAATTTGACTGGTGCAACTAGGTTTTTATCTTAGGTTGCACCTGGTGCAAGTGGTTAACATCTCCTAAATCGTGCCTTGTCTGTCATGATATTGCTGGAGTATTGCTAAAAGCGGCGTAAAACCATACTCACTCACTCATAGAACTCATGAGTTCATTTTGAGAGTTTTTGTTTTGAGATATATATACATTTTAAAAATATAACAGCAACAAAGAGCTTAGTGTTTATGTTCAGGAAGCTAATAAAGAGGTCTTCTTAATGTCTGACATGCTGATTTTGCAGTTTTTGCCTGTGTAGACATGTAGTGTTGAAGTGATATTTTTGTTCTGATTGTTTACATGATGCAAGATCCATACCATTGACTGGCCAAACACTTGTGTTGGTCAAATAAATATAAAGACTCCCTTCTCACATTCCTGTGGCAAAACCCTGTCTATTTCTGTCCAGTTAGACTAGACCATTAAGGCTAAATGTTCTACTTGTGCACTGGCTTATGGACTTCAACACATAGCGACGACCATGGCAGATCTTGTTGGTCTGGTCGCCGTTGTACAAAATAACCTTAGCGGTAAGACTTGCATAAGTCGATGTTAAGTTATATGAGTAACCGTCACCTTAGCCCTAAACTCGCTCTGTACAACGGCATCCAGGCCTCTTACCTTTGATGCTTATAGTATTTTTTAATTTGGTTTGTTTTTTTCCTAGTGAATGTATTTTTAACAATGTGTTGCAGTCTTTGGGTGTTCAGTATGGTGAGGTACTTCTCGTGTTTAAGTGGTGATGTGGATGTTTGGATCTAGGTGATGTGGTTGGTTGGTTGGATCTAGATGATGTGGATGGTAGGATCTAGGTGATGTGGGTGGTAGGATCTAGGTGATGTGGATGGTTGGTTGGATCTAGATGATGTGGATGGTAGGATCTAGGTGATGTGGGTGGTAGGATCAAGGTGATGTGGATGGTTGGATCTAGGTGATGTGGATGGTTGGTTGGACATAGGTGATGTAGGTGGTTGGTTGGATCTAGGTGATGTGGATGTTCGGATCTAGGTGATGTAGGTGGTTGGTTGCATCTAGGTGATGTTGATGGTTGGTTGGATCTAGGTGATGTGGATGGTTGGTTGGATCTAGGTGATGTGGGTGGTTGGTCGGATCTAGGTGATGTGGATGGTTGGTTGATCTAGGTGATGTATGTGGATGGTTGTATCTAGGTGATGTGGATGGTTGGTTGGATCTAGGTGATGTAGGTGGTTGGTTGGATCTAGGTGATGTGGGTGGTTGGTTGGATCTAGGTGATGTGGATGTTTGGATCTAGGTGATGTGGGTGGTTGGTTGCATCTAGGTGATGTTGATGGCTGGTTGTATCTAGGTGATGTGGATGGTTAGGTTGTGGATGGTTGGTTGGATCTAGGTGATGGGGGTGGTTGATGGATCTGGATCTAGGTGATGTTGATGGTTGGTTGATCTAACTGGTATGGATGGTTGGATCTAGGTGATGTGGATGGTTGGATGGTTGGATCTAGGTGATGTAGGTGGATGTATGTGGATTTGGATCTAGGTGATGGATCTAGGTGATGGGTATGATGGTCTAGGTGATGTAGGTGGATGGATCTAGGTGATGGTGATGTGGATGGTTGGTTGGATCTAGGTGATGTGGTGGTTGGTTGGATCTAGGTGATGTGGTTGGTTGGTTGGATCTAGGTGATGTGGATGGTTGTATCTAGGTGATGTGGATGGTTGGATCTAGGTGATGTGGGTGGTTGGATCAAGGTGATGTAGCTGGTTGGATCGAGGCGATAGGATCTAGGTGATGCGGCTGGTTGGATCTAGGTAATGCAGCTGGATGGATCTAGGTGGTTGGACTGGGTGATGTGGGTGGTTAGATCTGGGTGATGTGGGTGGTTGGATCCAGTTTGGTCACAGCTCAGTTTGCTTTAGTAGTTTATGTGAAACGCTGATTTATCTGCACTAAGTACGCCTGCCAAGCAAGTTTTGGGGAAGAATTGTTATTTTGTTCAATATTGGGATTTTTAAAAATTCACATTTTCTTATATGTGTTTCCATTAATTTCTATTTTGAGATTGCATTCAATGCAGCAATACAAAACTAAGTATTTAGGCTTCCCTACTTACTGGTCCTGCTATCAGTAAAATTCAGGTCATCTCTACTAAGGCATAGGATTAGTCACCATGGTTCTGTAATTTAACAAGAACTGAAGAATTTTCAATTTAAATTTTGTAAATTTGATTGGATTTGCTGCAAACTGTCAATCAAGGTAAATCCCTGTGCAGATTTCTATTCCTGTATTACATGTCTTTTCTTTATTAACTGGTCCAGATAGTGATAACATACAAGAACACACCCATGTTCCAAATTCTGCTAGCTCATTGCATCCAATGAACATTATGGAAACTTGCTTAGAATAGCAGGCTGGTGCTAATTTCTCTCCTGCATAACGTATCCTTTGAAAATCTTTAAAGCCTAAAAAAACTAAATAGTAGCAGTTGCGATAGCTTGTCCAAAGAGTGATAGCACAGAACACACCCAGAAATTGTTTAAAATTCTATTGGCCCTTAGGATACCTTAATGCATGTGGGAAGCTTTTTTGGATAGCGAGCTGGTGGTAATTTCTTCCCTGTATGACATGTCTTTTATATGCCTTGCATACAACAGTGAGGCTTGTGCAGGGCCTGGTGGTATGAAACTCAAATGAGGGACATTCATGATACACCCTAATGTTTTGTAAGAAATCCTCTCTTTCACAGAGGTGTTGATGGTAATTGCTGTAGTACGTCAGTCAGGAAGATACTGAGATGTATGTGTTTACTTACATATGATTGATGTAGTGGTAGGGCCACATGCCTGCCTGTACTCAGGTTCACTAATCTTCAGAGAACAGCTTGTGTCCGGTTCACAGCCAGGGACTTTGATTGACTGCGGTATCAATATTATATACAACAGCCCGGCAGGCACACTACTCTCTCCTTTGACCTCATTGGCTACAACTAGGTGGGGCTAAAAATACCAAGCTTGTATGTGGTGGACAAGACATTAGGGCTAGGTGCAAGTACAGATCGGCCTGTGTTCACAGGTCCTTAAACCTCATGTGTGATACGAAATGTACCCAATGCATTTATAGCTCTGGCTGTAACAGTGACTCTTGTGTTGTGGAGGTGGAATATGTGCCCGCTGGTGTGAGGAGCTGTCTCGTGTTGTGATGTGTCCAGTTTTGAAAGTATGATTACGTCAACACTGGATTTGCACTTGAGATTTGGAAAAGATAACAAGCCCTGGCATACTGTGTTGTAAGGGTTGTGTGGAGTTTGTTGTATGGAGACAACCACGTCAGGTGACCACTGAAACCTCATGGTGATATAACATGGCCAGCAATGGGATATGAAACGTTACAACATGGGGCATTGGTCATGGTACGTCTGAACACATCGTGAAAGAGGATTTACATACAGAATGTGGAGACAGAAGGATCCTGGGATAACTCACTCAGTGTATGTCAAGGAAGACCACTCTGTAAGTACTGTGAAGTGGTATTGTTTGTAGGCTGGCATCTACAGTAAACATGGCTGATTCCCACCATAACACCTTGAAGTGATAGCCATACTGCTCACATTACAGTACTAACATTTATAGGAGATATAAGGCAGCAGGTGTGGGCTGAATTTTAAGTTTGATCATGGGAACATCTTTGATTATTTTCTGACACTGAATGTATGTCTATGTTACGTTATTGGTTATTATGGGGTCCTTTGTTGACAGATTATATCAAAATGTAGACTACTTCTCTTTTTGTTAGGTGTATTTATACATCTACCTGATACACAAATATGGTTCTCATTATATGCCAAGTGTTTACAGTGTTCACGAATGGTGTTTCAAAGTAACAGGACATTGGGTCCTGTAAGTTTCAGTTGTCTGTCTGACCCTTTGAAAATTCAAAGGACCCATAGAATAAAATTAAACACACACTTCAGATTTATCACTTCTTATAATTGGCATTGAAATTATTAACAAATAAGATTTATAAACAGGAAACAAGTGTTACATGCCACATATAACAACTTCATTCAAAGTCATTGTGAAACATACAGTCAGACACTGGGGCCGGTGGGTTGTAGACTTCTATCGGACCGTTGGCGAATCTGACGGATTTGTCAGAGGGTCAGACACTATTCGTGAACACTGTGTTTATTTAAACATAATGACTGATAATCCCTGTTATTAGATGAGTGTGTCCCCAGCTGTGATATTGCTGGAATATTGCTAAAAGTTAGTAAAAGCTGCATAACACCACACTCACTCACTCTTATAAGATGAATAGTATATTTTTTTTAAATATGGTCTGGTCACAATATGGCTGAAAAAGTGCAGGCATGACTTAGAGCATTTTCTTTTTCATCATGTTGATGATACAATGAAACTATTCAAAATTCAAGTAATAAATTGAACTACTCTAGACATGATAGATGACATGAAGGGTCAAGGTGAAATTACAACTTTTCAAATTAATTGTCAGAAATTGAAAGGGACATTGTTTTATGTCCTCTACAGATGACCTGAAATTGAAAGAGGAAATCAGGAGTAAATCTTTTGAGCAAACAGAGATCGTTTCATTTCTACAATATTCTGACATTGAGGATGTATTATATAGGGACTCACAATGACTTTATTGACAGTGTCTGAAGTCAAGATAAAACATTGAAGTAGCCATTGTGGGTTGATTTAGTCGCCACCAGGTTGGTAGACATTCGTAGATAAGATAAAATGTGGATATCCTGTTGTGACATGATGTCATGAGGCCACTTATCTTTCAGGCTGATGTATTCATTATCAGAGATAATCGTAAAGTGGAAAATGTATCTGTCGTTTGTGAATATTGATTGACATAAAGTCTTCATGCTGCTATTGTCAAGATTGTTTATTGTACTGAATGGTTTTTAGAAAGGTGTATGTATGTTACATACTGATTGGTAGGGAAGGGGGGAAGGGAGGGGTGTAGCTTAATGGTTAGAGTGTCCGCCCATCACACCAAAGACCCGGGTTTGATTCCCCACATGGGTACAATGTGTGAAGCCCATTCCTAGTGTTCTCCGTTGATATTGCTAGAATATTGCTAAAAATGGTGTGAAACCATACTCACTCACTCATTCACTCGCTCATTCACTCACTCACTCATTCACTCGTTCACTCACTCACTCATTCATTCACTCACTTGCTCATTAAATAGTGTTAGGACAAGGGTTAACTCCTCCAAAAGGTTCAGTCTATGAAGCCGGTGTGTGTTGTCTTTGCTTGAAGTGTTAGCAGCATGTGACAACAACCCTTCACTTCTTAGAGATGTAACTCTGTGTTTATAGCAATATTATTAGAAATATAATGATTAGGCAGATTTGACATTGTTATCCACTTGATACATTGAAACCCATGGAACAAATATTCTTAAGTAAGCATTTACATCCATCATGTCCACAGTATGGAATACTGTTTATTTTTCCTTATCCTGACTCATGCTCTTTTTGCTTGTCTTCTTCTTCTTGCGAACATAGTGGAACACTTGTATCTCCCTAATTGAAGCTCCCTTCAATTTAAAATCACTAATTAGTATTCACCACGAGTTACCTCCTTTTCACAAGCGCGGGAACGAGGGCGCCACCTCTACCCATGTGCCTCACTCTCTCCTTCTTCGCCCAGTGAGCTGGACGTGAGAGCGCCTGTGTCTCCCGACACACTATATCCTTTGAAATATATTTAGTTAGTTACCTCGTATAGACATCTATAGAGGTTTAGCTAGTATCCTTCAACGATTATATATTGATATTTAGTCGTTTTTCTACAGTTTATTCACGGGACGCCGTGTTTGTTTCAGTGGATTACGTTGATGAAAATTCTGTACTATTGCAGATTACGTTTTTTATGCTGCTGCTGATCCGCCTTTAATATGATGTACGGCGCCATGTTTATTATATTCACATTGCAGTTGCGGTACTAATTTATCCAATTCTACCTTTTTATTAATATTTACTTTGCGTTTGGCACGCACAGCAGATAGGTCGCGTATGCAGACTCTAGTATGACTGATACACCGGAACCCCTCGCCAGTCTACTGCTGTTGGCCGACTCCCCTCCCGTGTGGTGTTCCGCTAGAGTGGTGGAGAGGTGTGGGACGTAGTCCGCCATCTCCAAGAAGCATCCTGCTTCCCCAGACATCCCATCGTCGCAGCAGAAGACTAGAGGGTTTTTCTACCAGTACATCAAAGATTGACCGATGTCGGCTCAGATCAGCATGCAGCCTGATGTACCAACGCAGATATGCGATGATCGTCCTGAGGGTCCCATCATTACCAACACTCAACGCAGACGTCGCACACCCAGGGCAGCGTCGACCTCTGAGGGAAAATCAACGAAGTCTACTAGGACTTTCTCAACCGAGATTGTTCCAGCCGATGACCTGGACCTCTACGATGATCAGCTGATCATCATCCCCGACGTACGCCACAAGAAACGACCGGTGACAGCTACAACGACATCAGCAGAGATCACCATGCAGCCTGATGCCTCTACACTGATGTCGGACGATTTTCCGGTGGACCCCTCCATTAACACCGCATAAAGCACCCGACGACCTGCCGCAGACCATCCCAGAAGACATGATGGACAAATTATGAACATCATGGAGGACCACTATATCTGCGGTAGCAGGGTCCGAAGCTTCGCGAAGGCTCCAACGTGAGACAGCACCCCAGAGGCACCCCCGTCCAACGTAGCAGCCAGGATCGATGTCACCTTCGCGAAGGAAGTCACGGACCACCTTGGCGAAGGACCTAGATGTACAGCTCTTCGGCGGAAGGCCTTCGTGAAAGGACCTAGATGTACAGCCTTCGGCGAAAGAACCTAGATGTACAGCCTTCGAAGGACTTCGCGAAGGCAGGATAGATCATCACCTTATGCGCGGTTTCATCCCTAGATGTGGACTCGGACCATCAGACATCACGGAAGCCTTCGCTGAAGGTCATATCGTCGTTCCCGGACCGGACGCAGAGGAAGCTTCGGCGAAGGCCAAGCGAGACACCTGAATCCAGATCATCATCATCTAGAAGGACATCGAGGGACTATACAAGAGCTTCACGAAACTATCAACGTTCCCCCCTCACAGAGTCTCCTCGAAGATCAACCCATAGACAAGTTGATCATCGATATCAAGTATAAGAACTACAATCGTATATTGGTTCTGTTGAATCCGAGGCGACGAAGTATGTTCGGCTGGCCTAAATAGATCTAGAACGATCAATTAGACACTTATCACCAGACTTCATAAATACCGACTTCTGAATATGATAAGATGATCCATGCGCCCTATTTAGGCAAAGCTACACGATCCCACATCCTGTTAAACACAGAGGCTGTTCACGAAGCAAGCCATATATATATTTATATATATATATATATACTAATCGGGCTTTGATTCTCGACACCTTCGCGATGGTCGCTGAAGGCTAAGTGGCTCCAAGTCTACTTCACCCAGAAGATCTAGAAGGGATACTTCGAGAACTTCGCGAAGTCTCCGGGCGCTCACCGAGGAAGTCTCCTCCAAGGTTTCCATATACTAGCCACTCGCCATATATAGCTACTTTCGTCAGTCCGTTTCAAGACGCCGCATAAGTTGATTATCAACTGTATGCCAGATGCCGCCTATAAGCCCACGCTAAGATAATTGCTCAGGCTATTTACAACACAGAACGTCGCTGTATTAATAGTCAACGACATTTCATAGATCTTCACAGAAATCAACTATTCGTATAAATTGCTAATATACAATCCCGGACGACGACATACCATTATCTACATGCGCGCGACCATTACGCGCATATCTGCAGACAATTCAATATCGAAATTGAACAGCAGCCTTGTTACAGCCAGTATAACTCTTAATCGTCAAGTTTCTGAGAAGAAATATGTACAACAAGTTCAACGTTAATTCTACAATTATGGCGATACATTCATGTATACAGTCTACAAGCTCACAACTTGCAAGTTGTTTATACCCTATATATATAAGGAAGTCGGAATTATATTCAAAACTGAAATTACTTTCAACGACAACCAGGAAAATAACCTACCCAGCATAAAATTACAGAGCGAGATATTTCACCGGAGGTTTTCAAGGCGATTACCATTAACCCTCGAACACCGTGGTCACTCGGATAACTTCGGGAAGCTACGGTGAAGACCGACGCTTTATGCTAATATCAACGGCGACAAGAATTTATTCAAGGTGGGTTTTTCCGCTACACACCGGTGACATCACAGCTGGGTATTATACAGAATCAAAATGCCTTGTTCTGATTGGACCGCGAGGGACAACGACCTACACAGAGGTCGATCTCAATTCACAGTTCAAGACTTACGCCACAAGTGACAACTATATATCAGTGAACGAGCAAGCCTCATTACAGTCCAGTTAACCTGAACATTCATGATTAGACTGCCTTTCTTCAAGTTAGAGACCTCCCCTG